ATGTTGACTGTGGCATACGGAAAAGCTACCTTGGACCGAAGCAACGTTTATCGGTGATACAAAATGTTCTCAGAAAGCCGAGAAGATGTGAACGACGAAGAGCGTGCCGGAAGCCCGAGAACTTCAACAACAGACGAAAAAATTAATTGCAGGGGCGTGGTGCATCATGAGTTCTTGCCACAGGGTAGAACGGTCAATAAGTAATATTACCTGCAAGTTATGCGCAATTTGCGCGAAGCAATCCGCCAGAAACGCCCAGATTTGTGGAAGAACAAAAATTGGCTTTTGCACCAAGATAACGCCCCTGCTCACACATCGTTGCTTGTGCGCGACTTATTGGCCAAAAACAACACACTAATGATGCCCCAGCGACCGTATTCCCCAGATCTGGCCCCCTGTGACTTTTTCTTGTTTCCTAAACTGAAGAGGCCCATGAAAGGACGACGTTACGCTACGATTGACAAGATAAAGACGGCATCGAAGGCGGAGCTGAACACGATAAAAAAATATGATTTTTTGAAGTGCTTCGAAGATTGGAAAAACCGTTGGCACAAGTGTATAATATCTCATGGGGATTACTTTGAAGGGGACAAAATAGATATTCATGAATAAATAAATAAATAATTTTTGAAAAAACACAAAATTCGCGATATTTTTTGAACACACCTCGTATAAATTTTAGATATTTTGGTAAGCTTTACCTAGTCTCTTCATAAAATATGTAAATAAATATGTGTAAAAATTCGTGACACTGTTATACATGCAAGCAAAAATCATACCTCAAACCTCTGCTCATAGCCAACATTTTTGTATAAATATGTATATGTATATTTCCACACATACGAAATTTTTAAACAAAAAGAAACAAACATTGAAATTCCAATAACATCACGTGCCATCACGTATTCACATGACGTGCTCAATTAAGAAGTTTGATCCGAAAAAAATCAAATTTTATGCAAATTTAGCGAAAATTTTCAATTCACACTTTGAGGGTAGTTCATCAGACAAAAGGGAGACGAGACAAAAGGGAGGCAAAAGGGAGGCAAAAGGGAGACAAAAGGTAGGACAAATTCTGAGGGAGCAGCGACGGCTAATATTAATGATATTGGCGAAAGGGAGGAATATGTATATATGTATATATGTACTGTTAATAATGGAGCGATATTCAAATTTTACGCAATAAAGAAGGAAAGTTTCAATGCGAAATGTTGCCAGAAGCTTATGCACATACATACATACACGTATGCATATAATGTCAAAGCAAGTTTAAGCTTATTTATATGTAAATATGTCATAAATTTTATCTCTTCATTTATATACATATAACGGTTTGTACGTGCATATGTAGTTCATGCAATCAAAGTGTACCCAACAAAACTGTCAAAATCTAATATCTACCTACCACAATGCGGTGCAGAGTGTGAGCCCACTGGTGTAGACGCACATAAATATGTACATATTTGTATATAAGTATATTATGACGTGAATATAGACAAAATTGTGGGTAGTTTTATCAGAATTATATATGTGTGAAGGCAATTTCATAAATATCTTGCATATATTAGACGTGCTGACTGGTACATACATACATACATACATACATACATACATACATACATACATACATACATACATACATACATACATACATACATACATACATACATATATACATACATACAAACGTAATCGAAAACAGTTTGATTTTGCTCTTGTTAAAGACTGCGAAGGATCCTTTAATATGGATTTATATCGAAAGAGCAGAAACGTGCCTAAAAGTCTACATTAAAGCTCCCATAAATATACAGCAAACAAAACGATATAAAATATTCGGCCAATCTTCATGAAAGAGGAAAAATCAAATCTCTTGAAGAGTGAGACCACCCAATTAGGGATACAGACGAACATACGAGAGGATAAACAAAGGTTCGATCAGTTGGAGACTTAAAATTTGTTTTTGTTAGATCTAAAAAAAAAAACCAAATCTTTTGCATTTACTTTATTAGTCTGCCATTCAAATTTTAGCACGATCGACTAAAATAGAGACGAGAAAACGCTACATAGCTGAGGATAGCTCAGATGGAATTCCCCGTCCAACGCAAACAGAAATTCACCATGTGACTCTCTTTGGGTTTCGGCGTAATTTATAGCCAATAAAAATATTCAGTGAATGCACTGTCTTTAAAGATATTCTTCTAAGTGCTTTCGAAGATTCCAGACCGGACATTTTTCCGTAGAGGACGAGTCTCGAGAAACTCGATCAAAATCTTTTACTGATTATGTCACTGTCAGTGTAGCTCTGGTGAAGTCCAAAATCGATCGCCAATGAATTGGGCTTGAATACCATGACTGTATTGCGATTTTAAAGTACTGATCTGGGATACACGAAGAAAACTGCTCGATTAGTACCACGAATTTTAGATGAGGCACAAAAAGTGGCTCCAGTGCATTTTGTTGATTTTTTCCTAAACAAATACGAAAATGGTCAGTCTAGCAACTTTAATGAAGTCGTTACTGTTGACGAATCTGGGTTCTATAAGTACGATCCAGAAACCAAACTGCAGACCATAGTATGGAGCCCAACAGGAGCAAACCCACCACCCGTAAAATCTAAGCAACAAAAAATAAGCAGCAAAAGTAATGACTTTACTTCACCCTATATAAAATCGTAGTTGATATTCCTCTAGAAAGGGGTCAGACGGTAACTGCAACATGGTACAGTGAAGATTGCTAAGATTCCAAAATTTTAAATATATGGTCCACATGTTAAGCAAAGTCAAACTATTGTATCGATCCCAGGCCTTTTTCCCGGAGAAAAATCTTTCCAATGGTAATTTGGGCTCAAAGCTATTACTATGATTTAAAAATAAATGCGAAATTTTCGAATGATGAAAATTTTATGAGGAACTTGGAATTTCATATCAAAATACACTCTGCAGAGTAACGACCGAAATTGTCGGTCGGGCCGTGACTAAAAATCATGACCAAATGGTGTACACTGCTAACTAATCGGCTAATGCGACCACCAATGGATATGAAATAAATAGAAAAACGACAGTTGGCTGACTAGTTTTACAGCTCGTTTTACAACTTAGATATTTTATATACATAAATTTGTCATTTCAGATAAGCGAATATGAACCCTTTTCATAATAAAACTACAAACACTCGTACCTGTTTCCTATCGCTTATTCATAGCGCTGATTTTATTTCATTGTAAATATGGCAAAAAATATATAAATACAAAATAATAAAAATAAACAAAAAGTCATAAGCAATTTGTAGTTTTGTTACCTTTCGAGAGTGTACATGTGATATATATATATATGTATGTACCTACTTCATATCTTTTAGAAATAAACGTCACAGTAGAGGCAAATCGGTGAATAATTTTGCAAACTGATAAGAGTTTTGCTATCACAAAAAAAAACCGGCAAATTGAGTCTGATAAGTTCATTTAATCCAAACCGACTGACACGTTTAAAGGGTGACACCGAAAAAAGTCAGTTTAATGAACCCAATTTTCAATAGAAAGTAAATAATGAACTCCTTTTCAAAGCATGGACCCACCTGCAAGTTGTGGCCGTTCTTGGAGGTACTACCCGTTTCACCAGAAAGACTTCACATCTATCAACAATTCGTCTGTTTCTGACAACAACATTGGTTGTAGCCTCTTCAAAAAAATTCGAATTTATATTAAATAAACAGCATTTGCGGAAAGTTTGAATTTTTCATTTTGGTTGCACGAAAAGTGCTTGTGGAATGGAATTATGGTGTATCCCTGCGATAAGTCATGCAGAGTATAGTTTAAAGTTTTATAAGCGGTGATCTCAGCTTCGAACAAAAAAAGCGTACTTTTCAGCACCCAAAAAATTTGAAGCTAAAGAATTGGAGGTTTTAGTGGATCAAGATCCGTGGCAAAGTTATATGCAACATGACAACGCTCGGCCTCACTTGGCTGTAACGGTTGAAAACAAAAATGTAGACTCTGTAATGAGAGGTCTTAAACCACTCGCTGTATTATTCCGATCATGCTCCTTCCAACTACTTTTTCGACGCCTGCAAAATAATTTGGAAGGTCACTGATTTGGTTCATTTGAAGAAAAATAGCTCGATGCTTAGAGCAAGGTCAAACAGAACTTATTTTTTTAGAAAATGAATAGCGAGTTCTGAAAAGTAGACGCTTTGTATTGTCGAACAACGCGCTCAATTTGAAAATTGTTTTATGTTCGGCTACACCGCCAAAACCAGGGTTCCACAGCCTTATCATCTTCTACGTCTTCTATCACTTCTACTCTACGACCTTACCTAGCCTTGGAAAATGATAGCGCTAGTATAGAGGCCCACAAGAGACCTGTGGAGCTTTATTGAAAAACTACAGGTGGGTACAAAATGCAACCATATACATAGACAACCAGTCTGTACTGCTGGCCTTATTGTCGCTAAAAGTACCAGCTGGAGGGCTTGAAACACACCGGCAGGTTAACTCCACTTATCGATAATCTGTGATCCGGGTCACAGCAACATTGTCGGTAACGAAATAGCAGACAAGTTGGTTAAGCCTGCAGCCTTTTAGACGAATTCAGAGAGTGATTTATATATTGTACATTTCGCGCAAATAGCGCATAAAAGAAGGAAACTTGTAACCAATCGTAAGATAACGTAGAAGATATGGCCGAAGTATGTTAAGAAAAGAACTGAGTACTGATTAAATAATTCCGGGAAAAATATATACACTCTAAAAGCTACTATATTTTTACTACCACATTCCTACTCAGCTCAAGTCTATATAACTTTTCATATCACTTTGAGATTACCCATAGTCTTCGTGTACTGAAACCGAAGGGGTACTGACTGGACTACATTTTGTGAAGTACTGTCGCTCTCAGTATAGATAAATGTAGAAAGATATGTATATAAAAGTAACTGCAAATAACACCGATTCACATCACCGAGTTGGAGAGTATCATAAAGTAAATTGGTTCATCCTGACTTACCTTTGAGTGAGGGCAACCAAACAATTTCTGAAAAAAATAATAAATAAAAAAATTATTAAAAAATTCTTCATTTTATTATAGTAAATTTAACTATAAATGAATAAAGCTCTTAATATTTTAATGCGATGACGCAATTTCTTCATAAATACAATTTGGCACCAACAAAGCTTTCTATTAGAAAAAAAACTTGCGTTGCCTTTGTTTTTAATCAGTAAAAGTTAAAATTTTCAGAATTTTATGCCATTGAATTTAATGTTACAAAAAATTTCATAAGCAGTTGATAACTTTATTGGAATTACCAGTGGCGGTAAAAATACGATATTACGAATTTCGAAGAAATACTTCACTGTTAAAAAATATTAGATTCTGATAACTATAAACATTCATAATTGCTCATGGAAATAATCAGATATAATATAAAAATATATATATATATGTAAAATATTGTTACTGTCGTTTTTTTTCTTAATTCCATAAGTTAACGTTGGTAATCAGAGTCAGCGTCAGTGTGAGATCTTAGCTTTCGAGTCTTTAAACAATTCAAATGATTTTTCATAAATATATCGTAAATATAATTAAAATAATGAAGAAAGTTCCGAGTAAAAATAGAAAAAATAGTGTTCAAAATTCTGAAAATATCGAAATACGCTCATGTTAGAGAACTTTTGAGTACTGGACACTGCATCAAATGTGCGAGTACTCATTTCTCAACTATCCACGACAATTTTCGAACCAAGTTTTGACCTTTAATATAATGTATACGAGAAAAGTGTTGACATTTTGAAGACTAAAAGTATCGCTCAAAATGAAAGCAAATACCACAGTAAAAGAGTTAATCTCCACTAATATTAAATTTTCGATTTTAACCCGCCAAAAATTTTCGAGTATATTTCTACTCAGACCATAAGAAATATATGTGACTATGACAAAAGAGAAAGAGAGAGAAAGAGAGAGAGAGAGAGAGAGAGAGAAACACTGAGAGATAACACGCTAATTATTAGAAACATAATATGTACGCCATTTTCGATGCTGTCCTAATCCAGTTCGCTTAAACCTGCAATGTTATCTTAGCTTAAACTGACTGTCTGTTTGAAAATTTTCTCCCAAATTATTAGCCGTTCTCTACAGAATTTGATAAGTCTAAAGTTTTCATAATTGCAGCTGAAGAGAACACTTACTGAGAATTATATTTTTTCTGGAAGTATTCGGATTATAATAAGAATTTCATCCCTTAAAAAGATCTGCTCGAAGATTACTTCAACAAAGTGATTGAGGATGAGTAGAAATTACAATGATAACAGGAAGAAGAGAAAGTGAAGTCAGAAAATGTGTTATATTTTTATAAAACGAAAACATTTTCCACATTGCACATCTACATTTAAAGGGTGATATATTTCGTGGTTCCTCTACTCTTTTAGAGAACAAAACACAGTAAAATCAAATTTAATGTGAATTGTTTATCATCATTCGAAAGATCATTCTTTTCTATTTATTGTGTGAGGATCGTCTCGTTCAAATGTTGGCCGCTGCTACGTCTCAGATGGAGCATCCGTTCAGTCCAATTTTCGATGACTCGTTCGAGCATTTCGATTGGCGAAGTGGTGATGTTTTGCTCCAAGGCCTAAATCGAAGAGAGATTGTTTGCATAGACTTTAGTCTTTACATATCCACACAGGAAAAAGTCTAAGGCTGTAATGTCACACGATCTCGATGGCTAATCGACCGGTCCAAAACGTGAAATTATCTGCTCACCGAAGTGTTTTCTCAATAAATCCATTGATTGGTGCGATGTGTAGGAATTGGCGCTTTTTTGTTAAAAGCAAATTTTGAGATTTAATTTCAGCCTTCCAATAATCGGTTATCATAGCGACTCTTAAGTCGCAATTGACTGCTACGCTCTCACCGGCAACATTTCTGAAGAAATGTGAACCGATGATTCCACCAAACCGATGAAATGACAGCTCTTTAATGTCTTCAGGTTGCTCTTCATTCCAAATGCTTCGGATTTGCTTGTTTACATACCCATTGGGTCAGATATGGTCCTCATCACTGAGCAAAATTTGGCTCGAAAACGTCGGATCTTCTTGAAACTTTTCAAGAGCCCATAGAGCGAAGCGATGTCGCTTGAGTAGGTCGAGCGGCTTTGTTTCTTTCACATAAAATGCACCAAGTAGTTCCATACGTCAGTCTGAGTTGCCGCGCACGGCGCCAAATCGACACTTCATGGTCTACGTGCACACTTTCAGCTACAGCTGCTATCTTTTCTTCACAACGAGGGGGCCGAATGTTGTCCAATAATGAATGCTGGGTCTCAAGATGGTTGATGGTGTTACGAATAGTACGCTCAGTAGAGTAGTCTATACTCAACTATACTCTGGCGTCTACTTCGTTTATCCTAGAAACGAGCAAGATGGTATGCAACCCATGGGAAGCCTTGGTTCACGGCTAAAAGAAATGAAGCTTCAGTGGAGACCCTCCGACATATTCGGTTGAAGGGTTCGCAAAAGGCAAAATGCAGTGTCAGTTCACCAGAGGTGTGGCTTCGAGCGAGCGCTGGTCTTGAACCAAGCGGCTCGCTATATAAATATGTGCTTAATTTAAACCTTTTCCCCTAGTGAAGTTATGCGCTGGGCTTGGGACTTTCCACGTGCAAACCCACACCAATTAAAAGTTTTATAACGCCTCGAAAGTGGGACCCCACTTTTTATGATGACCATTGCAAACTTGTTAAGGGCTACGATTCAAGGATATGCACTAGGATTGTCCTATAGATTAATTGAAAAGGTGTCGCTGCTCAGCCGTTAGATTTTCTCGTAAACCGCAAGGCTGACATCACTAGGCTGACATCACTGCCGTTGAAGAAGTGTACTGGGTGGGACAACGACGGAAACCAGTTGGTCCTTCTGACATTAACTACAGCGACCATAAAAAAGTATCGGATTCATGGTGAAAGAGAGACTAAGTCACCGAAACCTGGCACTCACGGTGACGGATGAACGTCTCGACACCATCCGCATCAAAGTGAAGTTCTTCAACATATCGCTGTTTTTAGCCCACTTACTGATAGAAGATAAGGACAATGTGACCAATGATAGCTTTTATGAATAGTTTACTTCTGTTTGGGAACTTTAATGCCAGGGTGGACAAAGAAGCTATCTTTGTCATAATTGTCGGTAAATGCAGCAACTGAAGCGTATGAGTCTGATAGTAACCAAGGACAAGACGGTAAAACTCCTCTTATCAAACAAACAGCCATCGTATTCACGACTCGGCTCACACGCTCCTGCTGCACTTTGAAGTTGTAGCTAATTTCGTTCATCTTCAGCCGGAAAATCCAGCGGAAATCATTCTAGCCAATTGTAAAGTAAAGTCATCTCTAGACGGATAAAAACCAAATTCTACTAGAACAAATAACGTAGCCGATTTAATAATGAGCAGTATGGTACGAGGCGACGCTGGCTAGGTCATGTGCCGCGGACGGATAAGAAACCTACAGCTTGGAAAGTTTTCGCTGCAGTATCCACCGGAGGAAGGAGAGGAAAGGGAAAGCTTGCAGTGCTGTTGTTTAACTCGACTAAAATCATGTAAGCTCTGTCTACGCTGGTGAAAAAAAGCAGCTTACCTAATTAATGACGAATGTTTACAGCTTTTAGAGTTGGCAGATTGCTACAGAAAAAGGGCTTAAAAAGTTCGGTGAAGCTTTCGAAATTCTCGTTAAGCTCGGATTAAAACTGGCTTAGGAGGTTAACGGGGAAACGGAAAAAACAATCAACCAAATTCTTCGTCGTGTCCTCCATGAGAAAAACATTTTGCAGTCAGATATTTTTTTTTTATTCGAATTGAAAATAATGCTCTCTTGCAACTCCAGAACTCCTCATATGTTTAACCGAATTCAGTATTGAAGCAGTTGCCTTCGCAATGCGCACATTTTATTAAGACACAAATTGCCCATTCTATGCGGCATGATCAAAGAGCTTCTGCTAAATGCCAACTGTCGAGTGGACCACTTATGCAATTGTCTTCAATTACGGGGTTGTCACGAAATCGCTTAGCAGAGACCACACTCCACTCCACTTCCGCCAAGAACCGGCAACTGCAGCGTTTTTTTTCCTTATTTTTTTATTTATGTGCGTGTATATATGTATATAAATAATATTTTTTCTCAAAAATAAAAAAAAAAACATCAACAAAAATTAATGTCATTTTAATGCTTAAAAGAAAAGCTTGCGCTAACGGTTTGTCTTTGTGGAGGGCGCACAACATGAAAAATCATCAAAATAAGTTTAAATAGAAATTATTGCATATTTTTAGTAAAAATTAACAAAACAAAAAGTCAGGTTGAAAGTAACACATTAGTCGCTTGCATACATACTCGTATGTATGTATGTGTATTACAAGCCGTCAGCATATCGCGCCGTCCTATCTCAATTAAATCCATTTAAAAGCAGGCATTCAGTGGGCTCGCGTTTGTTTTTTTTTTCTTCTTTCTTTTTTTACAAGCTTTTGTCTCCCCCCCCCTCTCTCTCTCTCTCTCTCTCTCTCTCTCTACATCTAACTATTGTATTTATTTTTTTTTTTCAGCGTTGCGTTCCATTACTTATTCGCGGCTTTTTTCACCAAATACATACATACATACACGCTCTCACATTTTTTCAATACATTGTTGGTTGCATTGGGTGGTGGCACGCTTGTAGTTTGACCACCGCACCGAAGTTTTTCAAGTGTTTTCACTTTCTCGACTTGTTGACTTGCTAAAGCTTGCAGTTGTAGTTGTAGTTGTATGAGCATTCAATGGTAAGTGATGGCTATTTAGCGTTGAGTGCTGCTTGTCGGATCAGGATTTTTTTTTTTTTTTTTTTTTTTTTTGTTTTTTGTTGGTGTTGTTCCGTCCATCAACAAGCATCAATCAGCATCCGTAGCTGGTAGCAAATCAATTTTAGTTTCAATTTCGTATCCATTTCAGTGGGTAGATGAGCCATAAATGTACTATAATTTGCTTACTAACCTAATTTCATACCCATTTCATA